CTGTACTCACGACCTCGGTCAAGATTCTCCCATACAGACCTCCAGCTCGGTTAATAAGAGCTAATTACAGGGGTAGGGCTGGGAGGGGGACCATTTCTCCTTCTGACATCCTAATGTCAAAATGGCTTGGGGAAAGTTCCTCCAAGAGTTTTGCTTTTCCTTTCATTTAACAGTCACCCCTCCACCCAGAAACACATCCTGTGGGCCCTGAATAAGCTACTGAAAAGCAAAGGAAATCTGAAGGTTTGGGGAATGTTAAGCCAAATGGCAGCAGTATGGTGGCCATCTCTACACAGTGGCAGCAGGGAATTCATTTCAATTCAATTTTAATTTAAACTCTCACAAACAAATTTTATAATGGTGTCAGAAAATAATAGGATACATAACAAGTTACATATCGAAGATGATAAATAGCATTGAGGAAATAATTTACAATTGTGATTAAAAAAATAAAGTGTTAAAGAGAAAAAGAAAAGGAGATAAAGGAAGACAAACAGTTCTAATACAAGGTTGATTCCGTGGAGTTTGGGACACCTAAATAGTATGTGGAACTAATCGAGTAGGTGCCCCAAAGTAACTAAATTTGGCAGAAGGAATACAGTGTTACACAAACAATTTAGGTTAAAAGTATTTCTTTAAGATCTAACTAGTAAAATTAATGACATTTCAACTTAAGAATTATTATTATATCTCTTAGTACGCGCGCTGTGATTGGTCAATTTAGCGGGCCGTACACTCCTGTACGGCCCGCTAAAATTTAAAGTTGGTTTTGTTTCAAAACTGTTTTGTGATTTATCGCCAAGTGTTCATAACTTTTATAGCAAGTAAAAAAATTAAAACTTTCTTTTACTCTAAATTGTGTATTAAAGTGTGCTAACGACTTAAGAACGATTTCAAATTGACTCGTTTTGCTTTCGAGGTGTGTCAGAAATTTGAAGCCGTTTCGCGTGAATAGAAATCGTTCCTGAGAATGATACCGGGTTCGCCCCATGGGGAGTTCGTCACCACCGAGTTCGCACCCCTGAACTTATTCTAAACTTTCTATTTCGAGTTTGCCTTCACCTTCAATGGATT